CCAAGAGAAATTATGTAATCCATATGGACCAAACAGCTAGTGAGTACCTGAACTGGTTAACTGAGCTCAGAGTTCATGTTTTTAACTAGTTACTCTGTGCTGCATCTTGAGAACTAAAGTGAGGAAATACTTCACAATTCACAACAATAGTGATCATCTTTGGTTAGTTGGGTGTTTGCCATTTTAAAATGGCAATTGAAATTTATGTCCAATTTTCAAGGAGCTAGATTATTAAACATATATGGCAGTTTTTCAGATGGCATCTTCAAATATTGTAATGCTTTAATCATAATTTTGAACTTTGATAGTAATTATATAATATTAGATATACAGCATAAATGTTGGTTGGTTTTAAAACACACCCAGGTCTGAGAAGTTGCTTTGGAAAGTCAGTCCTCATGTTTGTTTATAGATCACTTATCTTTTTTACAGTAGAGTACTAAGGCTTTTTAGCCACTATTTTTTTTGTACTTGTCACTAAAATTAATTTTACCTATTACTCTTTGCTTAATTTCTCATGACATATGTCAGATTACTTTAGGAATGAAGAAACCTGGATTCTAGTTGGTAGTATACTACAGCAAAGCTGATGCCTTTGTGCCTTATTTCCATAATCTGGATAAGGTACATTAGACTAGATGATTTTGGGGATTCCTCATGATTCTGACTTAAAATTTTAATGTATGGAGAATTTAACCAAATTAAGAGATATCGATTCACAAAATATTAAGAATATTATTATAAAGAAATGGATGGGCTTATATAACTATGGAGCTGCTGAGTAATGACTAACTTAGACTGATTTATCCTTTCCTTATTCATGGTCACATTTGTGATCAGTACCCCAAGTTTGTGAGAACGTTGACTGAGGTTAGCATGCAGTATATCCATGGAACAAATGGAACTCAGCCACATTGAAGTGAAATTCATGACTTTGAGACTGTGTGTTAGCACCCTGAAGTTACCATTCCTAGCCTAGATAGTTTATAACTGTTTATGGGAAACTATAAAGTGAAAGATCATTGTGTGGACTTCAGTAAGAAAGATCTTTTTTGTGGACCAAAAAGCCAGGAAAACTCTTTCAAAGGTTCAAAATGGCAGAAAGGAGAGGAGGGATTCGTGTTTAACAAATAAAAAGGAATATGCAGTGACATAAGATGAAAAATGAGTATAGTGTGGTATAGAGAGCACCTAGACTAGAGCAGAGTTACTGTGTAGGGAGCTGACTGAGATGAAGAAGGAAAGGTGTCTTAAATTAAGCAAGTTCCCCAGTCTAACTCCAGGAACATTCATACCAGAATCTGGCACAGCTGTAGTAGCTGGCTCTCTGTAGTGGCCCTGGCCTCAGTGTCTGGTGTTAAAAGTTTACATTGGGTTCAGTAGGTATTCAGAGAACTAGAGAAACAGCTGAACACAGCTGAGCTGAGGAGAATGGTATTTCAGAAAGATTAATTTGCATTAAAGTACAAGATGAATGAAAAAGAAACTGAAGTCTTAGATCACAAGAGATTGTTGTAGTTATAAAACCTAACTCAGTAACTGTCTTGAGTTTTAAAAGGAAGAGTTAAAACTCTAGGAAAAAATTAAAATGACAAATTTGTAAGATTTGGTGACTGGATTTCAGGTTCCTAAATGACTTTCATGCCACTATCTCAGATGTATAAGAGAACTGCTTTTGTTTTTGTTTTTGGGAAATGGAGACCATTTTGTATGAGTGATGATGTATATTTAATACTTACCCAGCACTTGTAATACATGAATGGCCATTGTGTTACAAGAGAACTTAGAAAGTAGGCTTTTGTATTTTCACCTATACGCATTACAACAATTGACAATATATGTCACATCTGTCCAAACTTCCTTCATCCCCATCTGCTAAGAGCTATTGTTGAAGTCACCAGTGACTTCTTTATTATCAAATCCAGGGGGCCTTTAGTTTATACATTATTAAACTTCAGCAGTGTCAGATCGTTGACCCAGGCCCTCCATAAAACATTTTATTTTTCTTGTGATTTCTGTCGCCTCATGCTTGATAGCTGCTTTTGCAGGCTACCATTCTTTATGAGGTCCATATTATTGACATGTCTCTGTGATGAGTTTCCTACATGTTCCTCTGGGTAATTAAATTTTAATCCAAATGCCAACAATTCTCGAAGCTATATCCCAATTCTGGACCTACAATAAGTTCTTAACTAGTACACATATTTTGTTTGTTTTTTAAAAATTGGTTGGCTTCTAACACTGGCTAAGATGTAGAGGTATAGGTTCTGATGCATGCTATTTTCGTATATATCCATGTCATTTCCTCATATATGAGATTCTCCTTTTTACATATTTTTTGAAATTTATTTTTAAAAAGACAAGTTTCAAATTGAAAGTTTCAATTTTCAACATTAGAGCTGTATGTGCATGTGTCATCACAAATTCCCTTGTATTGAAATAATCAACTATGAAATACTTGGGAAGAATTTTACAAAATAATTCTAATTAACTAAAATAGATGATAGTGGGTGATGTTTTTATGTTCTTTTACAGTTAATAGGCCTTATCATTTATGTGTTTTGCATTTACTTTATAGGACTGATTATATTTTGCTACTTGTATGCATGCACTATGTACCTATACATGTATGCTCATGTGATCCCACAGACTCATTATCATGTTTTTTCTAAACATTATATTTATACTTGCATTGTAGATAACAGATATTAATAATTATTTTAGATAGAATTGCATCACAGATCTTAACCATTATTTTAGATAGAACTACATCACAATATATTATTGTTTAACATTTAGGTTGATTATAATTTTTTATTCTATATTTTTTTAATTTTAAGATTTTATTGATTTAGTCATACAACAGCTGGGATGTAAGCCAGAGGTGCAGGGTGGTGAGAGGATTCACCAGAAACAGAATGACCAAATAGGCAGAGTGCTGGAACAGTGGATGGGTCAGGAGAGGTCTGCCACGCCAGGTGGGTCACCTCCCTGGCCAGGGATCGAACTTGTGCTGCAGTGGCTGCCCGTAGCATCACAGTGCTGAGACTTAACCCTTGTGCCACTGGGGAGGGCCTCAGATTCTGGTTCTTGTCACATTAAATTCAAATGTGCTTTTTGTTGTAGCAGTTTAATGTTTATCACTTTAAACTTGATGATTTCAACTGTGTGAATAAGCCATTCCATTTCAGATCTTTAGAATATATTATTGTTTTGCAAGTCATGGAGTCCTAGAGCCCAAAATACAATAAAAACACTCTTTCACATACACCCTTCATATTTCCTCCCTCCTTTCCTTATCTGACTTTTTGTTGTTTTCACTAACAGAAATACTTAAGACTTTTCTGTTAGAACTTAGTTGTAAGTGGCAATAGAATGGAAAATTGAGACCTCCCCCCCCCCAAGTTGGCACCAAGTTATTGGGGTCCTGTTCTTTGTACAGTTCTATACAATAATATTCCAGAGTTTGTTAAAATATATATATATATTTTTTTTTTCACAAACATGCATTAAAGTATGTTAAGCAAAATTTATAGCCATAAAGAAAGAAAACATTTTTGGGGTGGTTAAGATCCCAGATTCTGAAGCCAAACAGTTTAGATTCAAATTCCAACTTTGCTGCTTCCTAGCAGGGTGGTTTTTGGCAAGTTCTTAACCTGTCTAGCTTTACTTATCTGTAAAATGGTGGTATTAGTCCCTCCCTTCTAGATCTGGTCTGAGGATTAAATGATTTAAGTGTTTAGTACTTAGAACTGGCAGTGTACCCAAGCATTAGCTATTTTATAAGTTACAAAAGGTCATTTTAGGGAAATTTTTCTGAGTGATATTAAAAATACCAGTTCAGTGAAGTTGGCTCTCAGCTAGTTCTGATAAATATTCCTAGGGCTAGAAATAGCCATTCTTTCCTTTTGAGGTTACTCAAAACATGATACCAGTCCTCCCCTTTCCATACTTTTTCTAAGTTCTCCATTCAAATTGCACTTTCTCACGCATGGCTCACTTCAACATCTAGCCTTCTAAAATTTTACCATTGTTATCTGAAATTACTGGGAATTTATTGTATGTTGTGTATTGTTATACTTTTTAAAATCATCTCTGAATCACAAATCCTTTGATATTGGGAGCTATGTGCAGTACAGCTGTGCCCTATTAACTAATACAGCATAGTAGGCACTTAAAATATGTGTTAGTAGCAAATAGAAAAGAAACTTTTTAAGATTGAGCAAGTTGAATGTGTGTGTGTGTGTGCACATGTCCACTTCTTCAACCTCTGTAGCACATTTACAATTTTGAAAATTAACTCTTTAAAAATTAGAGCACTTGTGAGAAATTTAAAAGTTAAAACTAGGTGAAAACACTTACAGGTTAGATTATATAGTAACCAAATATCTAACACTTAGTATTGCAACAGGAGCCTATATCACCTGCTGGGAAATATTAGAATTTCTCCCTCTGGAATTACTACTGTATAACAAAGACAGAGAAGGACCTTGTGGCTGTAAATGCTCACATCATAGAATTAGAGATCACAGATCTATGGAAGGAAGAAAAGAAAGGGAGAAAGATGCATTTGAGCTAATTTTTTCCCTAATATTTAGTAATGTAATAGAACATCTTAGCAAGAAATATTTAAACCTTTTGCTTGTTGGTGAAGTTTTTTATATGAACATTATTGTACCTGATACCCAATAATATAACTTTTTATAGGATTACAAATGTATTCCTAAGTCTTAGATACTTTTACTTAAGTTTACATAAAAACAGTTTTATACATAATTTTAACCACATGTGTCTTAACTGAATTTAGAGCAATCTGTCACTTCTTGATTTCTGTGTACCTTGTAAATCAAGAGTTTTATATATTATATTATATTTGCTCTTTTCACCCTGTTGTGAATATACTTGAATGTGGAATATGACATTAGTTTTTGTAGACATAAAAGATGAGTTCTTGTCAGGAGTACTTTAACTCATGGGTCCTTTTCTTTTTAAAATACTAGATACTCTAGATGAATATTTTGAATATGATGCAGAGGAGTTCTTGGTCTCTTTGGCCTTGTTAATAACAGAAGGACGAACACCAGAATGTTCTGTCAAAGGTCGCACAGAAAGTTTCCATTGCCCTCCAGCACAGTCTTGTTACCCAGTAACTACCAAACATGAATGTAGTGACAAGCTGGCCCAGGTAAGAATTGTGTGTTGAATGCTTTTTATTTATCATTTATGTGAACTAGTTTATATTTACCTTTGTTATATGCAATTATAATTTTAACATTTAAATATAAAATTGGTCACAGCCTTAAAGCAAAAGTCCTAATCCTCAACCATGGTTATAGTTAGTCACTTTGGCTCTAAGTAAGGCTTTTGAAGGTATAGGAGGTAACTTTGCTGATCAGCAGGCATGCAGACAGCCAATTTCATACCTGCATTCTGGTGCTCAAGATTTAAACATCATTGTTGTGATTTAGCTTTCTCTATTTTCAGAATCAGCTCTGGCTGGCTTCACTGACTTTATTTTCTTATTTATTTAGGAAACTGGTGTTCCTGTTTATTTTCCCCCACATAAACCAATTTCCTTTCTATACTCCTTTTTTTTTTATAGGAGAAGACACATTTTGCTATCATATTAATGTTTTTGAATACTATTAAAATACTTATTTTCGTAGGTAGAACATGATTTGCTATAATGATTTTTCTCCCAGTTAATTACTTCTTAAATGCAGCGCAAAATTAAAATCTTACCTGTTTGGACTACTTAATGAAAAGGAAGTTTTAATATTTTAGTCATAGAACAGATCTTTACTCTGTAATAATTAGCAAACTGTCAAGGCTGGTCCACCTTCAAGATCTGCCAGATACTGTGTATGGCAGTTATTTTTCTGCAGGATAGAACAAGGATGCCACCCTCCCCTCAGATAAATTTGCATCATAAATTCTCTTCAATACTAACCCTCATATTCTAGAATTTACTAGTATTAATTCATTGGTCAGTGAGGAAACCTACATAAACAAGCTAGAGCACAGCTCTATAATAGACTTACTTATACAGATGTCTATCTTAAAATTATGACATCAAAATTTAAATAAGAAATTGAGACATTTTGCTTATATTCATTTTCTCTAAGTGTCGCCAAGCCAGACGGACCAGGTCTGAGGTTGCATTGTTGTGGAAGAATAACCTTCCAATCATGGTGGAAGTGATGCTACTACCAGACTGCTGCTACAGTGATGACGGGCCTTCCACAGAAGGAATTGATCTAAATGATCCTGCAATTAAACAAGATGCATTATTATTAGAAAGATGGATATTGGAGCCAGTCCCTCGACAGTAAGTTGTTTGAGTTTGAAGTTGTTGGTAAATCAAATTTTCTGCTGCTATCTATAAATGTTTAATATGTTATGTTTTAGAATCTTTTTATATAGTAAAATTTAGATTTTTAGTATTTAATATGATTTCAAGTGACACTGATAAATATTCTTTAAATCATGCATCCTGCCCAATATATTTATTTTAACTTATACATTTCTGAAATTCAGTCACTGTACTTGTTCACATTTAGATTATGGTTTTTTTACTTCCTTCAGGAGTGGTGATCGATTTATTGAAGAGAAGACTCTTCTACTGGCTGTTCGCTCATTTGTGTTTTTTTCTCAATTAAGTGCTTGGCTGAGTGTTTCTCATGGTGCTATTCCACGAAATATTCTTTACAGGTATGTTTAGGACAAAAAAAATGTCCAAATACATTCACTAGCTACTAAATGATATTTATCTATTAAATAGTTTATTTCCTTTATTTCTAATTATTAGTGGGTAAAATTGAAGTTAGACAAGTTAGAAAAATTGGGTGTGAATCAGTATGAATTTTGCCTCTTGAGAAAAATTTGGTATTGAATAGCTTTCAGATAACTTTTAAAATTTCTGCCATTATAAAAAGTAGAACTTTCTGGGCTGCTGAACTCTCAGGTGGTCGACTTACTGAATTTTTTAAAACTCTAAATATATAGACTGCTGAAAAACTATCTAGTTTTTTCGTTAGGTTGGTGACCTTGAGTCAGAGTATATCTTAATCAGCTTGCCCAACAGAATTAGCTGAATCCCTCTCCTGTCTCCCTCTGAGTTCCCCTCAGCAGTGTATTTCAGTCAATTCATCAGTTCTCCTCTCCCCACACTGTCTCTGGTGAATCCTCTCACCTCCTCCCACCACTTCTGGCCTACACTCCAGTTCTTCTGTGCATAAATAAAAAAAAAATCTTTAAAAGAAAAACAAAGAATTAGCTGAATCCATTAACTTAGTAAACACAAACTCCTTTCTTTCTGGTTTGATAAATAATTTTAAA